GGTGGTGTCATGTAGTTGTAGTAGCAGGCAAAAACTGTATAAACCAGTGTCTATAGATATTTAGTTAGGTATTGCGCCAACATCCAATGCAGGAGAACTCACTCACATAGTTGGCCATATAGCAAACTTTTAATGACTTTACACTTTATTTCATTATAGTTTAGCCATTACTTATCATAACACCCTGAAAGAGTAGCATATTATGTGCAAGCAGTCATTTCTTTACAATGCATCTAAACTTTTTTTAGTAGAGGCTGTATACCAAGGACAATGGAAAAATAAAATACATTTTGACTGACATCTTTGCAGATAGTAAAAACTTTGTAGCCTTATGCTCCACTCAGTCAAGCCTGTTCTATTTCTGTATTATAACATCACCATCTGCACCTGCTAATTATGTTTTGATTACCAGTAATAAATCACGCTAGACGGTACATTTTGACACAGAACAATTTAATCTCAGCTTCAAAAACATGGTGGCCTGACCAATATGGCTCCTTCATTATAGTAGTCATTACCAACCTATGATTTTCCTTTGCAGCCTCCTGAACATGGCACTGCACTTGAACATTATTGATTTGTTTTTGTGGTGAGGAATCCGTTGGGGGCCTGCTGGTCAATCAACACATCTTGTTCTGAGATGTTTCCCTGCTAATAATGATGTCCAATAATTTGACTTGACTAGACATGTGCATTAAAAAAAACAAACAAACAAACACCCAAGCATTGGCAACTCCACTGTTACATTAAATCATTAAAGGTCCTTTGTGTTACAAACATGACTCTTGTGAGATTTAAGCCATGTTAGAATGTGGTTTCCTCCTCAAAACAGACCTGAAGTTGTGTTTTGTTTCATTCAAATATGTTTGAGTAATCCTGGTTTATTCATCTGTTTACATTTCCAAAGCTCAATTCTCTGTTCCAACTTGCAATTCCAGGACTGAAATTATCCAAATTCTTCTAGTTAAGCTGCATGAATGAAAGAAAGAAATAAGGAATAATGGCCTTTATTTTTCATTTTATTCACATGTACTGGACATACAAAAAAATCGAAATTGGACCTGTCACCCCGTCTGTACATTACAAAGAAGAGGTGGAGACTTGCAAGTTGTGACTTGGACTCGAGTCAGACTTGAGTCACTATTTTTAGGACTTGAGACTTGACTTGATAAAATGGACTAAGACGTGGGACTTGACTTGGCCTGTGACTTGAGAAGACTTAAGAAGCACGTTTAAATCAGATTTTTTTTCTATTCTGACTGTAATGATTCACACTAAGATCTTGTCAAGACATTTAAAAAGGAAAAATTTACTAAATTAATTTCTACAACTCTTATATATTCTATAAATACTTATATATAAATATACTATGATTTTTTTATGTACAACTTATCTTAAAAGTCATAAATTGCAAAAATCTAAGCTTTATTTGGTACTTTGGTTTAAACACTTGAAATAACTTGAAGCTCAAAGCAGACGACTTGGACTTGACTTAGACTTATAGGCCAGTGTCTCAAGACTTAATTTGGACTTTTCTGTATTTTACTTGGGATTTGACTCGGACTGGCTAAAGACTTGAGACTTACTTGAGACTCACAAAACAACGACTTGGCCCCACCTCTGTTACAAACACACAATACAGTATAACATGGGGAGAGTAGCCATAAGACAGGACCGAACCATAAAACAGGTAGCACATAGGAATAAACAATTAGCATAATATAAGGATGGGGGAGGAGAAAATAAAGAGAACCACCCCCAGACCGTGCTCCTATCGGAGCATAGTACACACACACACACACACAAAAACACCTATGAACTCTAAAAACACAGTGGATCGCTTCCTATATTATCACATGACATCACAAGGTGGAACATAATGTTTTCTGTTTGAGAGAAGAACTCATCTTAAATATGAAGGATTTGTCTGTTAAAATGCGTGAATGAAACAAACACAATTCCAGGTTTCTTTTACATAAAGAAACAACATCATAACCAAGACCAGAAAATAACGTAACATCTGCCCTTTAAATCATCGCATACGACTGAACCAAACAAAATTAATAAAACAAAAAGTAACACACTTCTCATAGTTTTCACCATTATGCTGCTGTGTGCTCATAGTGATTGGCATCCGAGTGGCTGCTAATCGAGCTTTGATGAAGTGCTGTGGAGATTTGGTGATTGGACACAAGTGTCCACGAGCACAGATGTGGAACTTAATGAGAGTGAGTGCAGGCACAGGCAGGAGCTGAGCCAAGAGACACTATGACCAGCTGCTGTTTGTGTTAGCACATGTGAGGGCTTTCAATAACCTGGATCTAAAAAAAAAGTAATTTCATTGTAGTATATAAGACTTAGACAAACTTTATTTATCCACAAGGGAAATTATTTGGACAGAGTAGCTCACAGATCACAATAAATATAATAACAGAGAGCAAAAGTATAAATACAACAAAATTCTAAATAAGTTGCAAAAATGGCAAGGGACTGATATCAAATAAGGCCTAAGTACTCTATATGTACAAGAAAATAAATACAGATTGGCTTTATACAAGAGGATGATTTTGTGATTGACATAACATGGGGTTTTCTATTACATAAGGATGAATTGTTGTACTGTTGTATGGAGTATAGTCTGAATGTAGTCCTGTATCTCTCAGCTGTATGAGCCTGTTGGGAGAAAGAGCTGCTCTGTCCCTCTATAGTCTGGTGCAGTGGGTGAGCAAGAGTGTCCATGATGGAGAGCACTGTCCTTCTGTCCCTCACTGTGCCACATGACCAGCTTAATGGATCAAATAAGACAATAAGACAAATTCAGTGTTTCGTAACAATTATAAAAATTTAGTAGGCTGTTAAAGAGTTGCTGTGACATTGGTTTATAAAAGAGCTACACTACATGCAGTGCACTCTGACTCTAAAAGATTGGTGGTTTGAACCTTCCTCATGGTGCATATAGCCTACTTTGATGTGTGTTGCCTCCTGGATCCTCTACTACAGATGGATATAATGTTTGCATGAAAGACTTCTTAGTACATTTAAAAAGATAGTGTGACAGTTTACCATTATAACTCCAGGTTTAGGCTATGAGGATTTGCTTAAGGCTGCAGCACAGATTTACATGATTGTGTTAATCAATGGTTAATCTCTCCATAAGCAGACAGATACTCTGGTAAGTCTTTGCATTAAGCTTAAATACTCTTTTTCAATTAAGCGCAAAGATATGCTTAGGAGAGGCTTAGAGGGCAGCGGCTGCTTTTGTTACATCCTCACAGCTCTGCCCGGGTCTTACAGCATTACTTTCTCTGTGGGGGACTCCTGGTACCTGTTAGCTGGTTAACTGTAGCCACTGGGTTTGGTGCTAATACACCTCAGACTTAGTGAAGGTGGCATCCTGGCACAGCGCGTGTGCTGCTGATAGCACTCATTAGCCAAAGGATTAGCAGTCATTAGCCCTAGCATAGCTCACACTGATACTGCATACTTACTGGCCAATTACACATGCAGCTCTTTAGCCTTGTTACCCACATGAAAAGCTCTGGGTCCTCACACTTTCTCAGTTTGACTTGAGGTTTATGTGTCTGTTTTGCATTGCTTTTCCCCATCCATAAACTGATCTACACTGACATACACACAGACATAGATATACACATACGCATACACACACACACACACACACACACACACACACACACACACACACACACACACACACACACACACACACCCCTTCACATTCACGTACACATACACATGCTCATACACATATAGACATCACAGGGTACAAAGGAAACAATTCAGGGATTCTGAATTCCAGCCACATTTGTCAACTTTGTGCTGATCTCAACCTCTAAGTTCATCAGATGAGGTGGAAAATGTATGGACAATGCACTAATGAACATGTGCTTTGTTATATGGATAAACACATATAAGGCATTGAAGTCTCTCAGCCTAGTAGCTTTTCTTTCTCAATTGCAGACAAGGATCAAAATGGAGCAATTTTCAGTGTGAGAACATAATAATTAGAGTGGAGTACCAGATTTTATGCTTGGTCAAACCAAGAGCATTGTGGGAATTAAAAAGCATGAGGGCTGAATGTAGCTTCATTCAGAATGATGTGTTAATACAAAGGCAGTCTCACCTAAGTGGAGCAGTCAAACTCTGATGAGAGTGAGACAGAGAGACACAGAGCTCTCTGCAGCGACCACAAACATGCAGAAAACTATAAGAATGTCCCTGTTGATTTGTACAAAATCGAACCACTGTTGAAGGCATCTGCATCACAAACATATTGGCCCGTATGTAAGAAATAGTTTTGGAGTCCACTCACACATTGGCACTGTTTAGTATGAGAATATGGAAGAATAGCAACTGGAGATTTCCATGGCCAGCCCAAGTGGTTTCATGCTGATTTAACATCCCAGCTGCACATGCTGACTCCAAACCTTCTGCAGATCTTGACACAAATTCAAACTGATCTCTTCAATTCACTCACTTTAAGACAAACTCTGTTTTTTACCTGTCCCTCATAAGCCCCCAGTAAGCACTATGTCCTAACAGATTAAAGTCCCACCTTGAATATGTGGACATTGTGACCCAGATTGCCCACTCCACCTTTCGTATTCATCTTGTGTTTTTGAATAGCACATTCTTGTTCTTTATCTTTAAAAGCTGAAATGTTGTTCTTGAGAAAAGCACTGGATTCTGAAATGTGATTGTGAAGTGCTCAGCAAAGGACAGAACACAGGGTTTTGTTAGATAAGAGAAACACAAAGCTGTTTTACTTGCATTTTTCAAATAAGCCACATTTCAGATAGCAGTGCTTACCCAACTGTACGGCAATGTGGTCAAAGCTTATCTCTGTCCTCAAACAGAAGTGCCAGTCAGCTGCTTTTAAGGTTTTCACTTCACTTTTGTGTTTATTTTACCTTCGAACATGACTTGCTACTTTCTTTTTAGAGTAATATGTATGGCTGATAATGTCTATTCTTCTCTTACAGGTGGAGCGGGAAATAGCGATTCTGAAGCTCATAGAACACCCACACGTTTTAAAGCTACATGACGTCTATGAAAACAAAAAGTACTTGTAAGTATCGCCAGCCCTTTGTAATGTGCATCAGTGTACAAAGTGTGTAAAATGTACAGGCTTAAAAGCACCATTTTGTTACTACTATAGAAGCATTCAAACCTCACAAATGTCCTCACATTCAAATATCCTGCTTTTGGCAATACATTAACGAAGACCTATTGTGCTTGTGTCTGCTACTATATAGTTATATCTATGGCAGTGGATCATTTATCAGTTATAATTTGGACATTTTAAATTGCAATATTGGTCTGAAAACAACTTAATAAAAGAAACAAATCTGACTTCCATTTTAGAAAACTGTGGTACTCAATGGAAGCTGACGTCGCCACAAACGTCCTCACAACAAAGAGTCATGAAGTTGTTTGCACCTTTGATGGATGGATTTTGTTTTTTGTTTTTTTTCTCGTACCAAAATGGCTACGTGACACTGCCCAGTCCTACATGTATCACAAATTAAGATAATACAATTTGAGAACTAAGTTAGTACAGACACCGCATTTTTTCAATATCCAGCTTTGAACCTCTGAAGAAGACGTCCTGTTGTTTTGTGCACTGTGGAAAGTCCGCCACAAGTTTGTGTCCATGGAGATATTATTACTGTTCCTCAAATGTCCCACAGCATGGTCCAAGGGATAGGTTTAAACCTATACAATGGAGCATTCAAAGCAATAACAACAATAACATCATGGAGCCAAAAGGTGACAGACCCCCCCCACCAAGCAAATTATCAAAATATGGGCTGGTTCCAACAAGGAAAAAAAAAAACAATAAAACAAACAAAAAAACTTAAACAAACTTTATTGATCCAAAAGGGAAATTATTTGGAAACGCCACAATATATTATAATAACAAGGAAAAACATATATATATATATATATATAAATAGTAATAATGAAATAAATTCTAAATACTAAATAAAAAGCAAAATAGCAAGAGACTGGTGTCAAATAAGGCATATTTATATAAAAGTTTATGTACAAGTAAAAATTTAATATAGAAATATAGTTACACAAATATATCTCAGCTATATACAAAATATCAGCTATATACAAGAAAATTAAAATATATACAAAAGGTTGTAAGGAAAAACAGTGCAAAGATGATATGATGATTGACAGGGCTTTGGGTGATCTGTTACATAAGGGTGAGTTGTATAGATGTAGGGAGTATTATAAAGACAGATATTAAAGGTGCATTGTGTATTCTATCATCATGGAGACCAAACTAGACCAAGCTACAGTTCAGATCTGTGGAGAGGCAAGCCCACTCACGGTCAGAATGCCTGTTTTCCTAGGTATGTTTTGACCAATTAAATCATCAGTAATTTAATAAATGTAAGATAGAATTTTTTAATGTCATACCGAGGAATATTCCAGGCAGAGCAATGACATATCCAGAGCAACAAGCAGGTGACAAACCCTAACCAAAAAGTTACATAGCGCACCTTTAAATACAGACAAATTATTTACATCAGTAGCCAGCACACATAAACGTTTAACAATATAATTCAATCCTTTGCACATAATAAGTAACGGGAGGGAACATTGGGCTGGATTTCATGGCGTATCGTAGGGTTTGCCAACTCTTAAGACCCTCAGATGAACATGAAACCATCTCTGAGCTTGAGCAGTTGAGTGACAACCCCATCACTCGTTAAGCATATCTTTCTTTATCTACTCGCTGTTTGTCAACTAAATTGTATTAGATCTCGTTATAAGCCTTCAGACCAAATGGGATCAGACATGCTGCAGTGTACATGTCATCCTTTAAGAAGAGTAGAAATAGATGCATATTCTGAGTCCTGCTATAATTGGATTATTAAAATCACATTTGGTGCTTGTTGCTTCATCACTTCTGACAGTTGGTCACCAGTGGCGTCACTCATGATGGATGGGCTTGTGTTTGCATGGCCACTGAGTAAAAACGTCTCCATTCTGCGTATCCACTGTAGCATTTAGTCATCCTTATCGGCTCCTGACCCTAGGCCTGTCACGATAATTACTATATCGACTTATCGTTCAATACATGAAACCTGGAACTATATTTTTATGCGGTCAACATTTGAGCCATAAACTAAGAACTGTAGTGTTTCAATCTGATATTTATTTATTGCAGCTCATACATTTTTAACAATATTGCAGATTTTAAATATTTGTGTGTTTTTTGTGTTACTGTCATATTTTAGTTTCATTATTGTTTATCGTCTATATTAACTGATATATTCTTTAATATTATATACTTTACATTATATCACACTTCAGAATATAGACTTAGGATTCCACATGGGAAATTATTTGGACACAGTAGCTCACACATCACAATATATTTTAATAACAAAGAGCATTCATACATACATTAAAAATAAATAACAAAAACAACAAGACTCTCATGTCAAATAACAATAAATTATATAAAGGTGTATATACAAGGGAAAAAAAATAAAAATATAGTAATACATACTGAAATTGTGACAGGTCTATCTGGCATCCATAATTCACCTTAAGAAAGTAGTAATTAACAAATCATACGGATGAGCCATCTGCTAGTTGTGTCCTTCATCTGCATTTGGTGTTTTTTGGGAAACCACAACAAATAAATCCTGTTGGTCGGCACAGACTTGAGGCACTGCTGTATTTTGTATTCACCAAAAATGTATTTGGTCTAAAGTGAAAAATGTGACTTTGCCAAGGCTGTAGGAAATGGCAGGGAGATATGTTCAAGGTACACGGTGAACTGTGAGCTTTTAACTATCAGAAAAATATTGTGACTAAAGCCTAGTTGAGTTTAGTTTCAAATTTTCTTCACATGACAAATCACAGACATCTTTCTTTTTAATATTATTTCATACATGCTCTTACTTAAAGGTGCTTTGTGCAACTTTTCTTGTGGAGGGTTTGCTACCTACTTGTCTCCATGGAGATGTGACAGCTTTCCCTGGAATGTTCCATGGTATGACATTAAACAGTTATTCACCTAGCAGTTATAAAATACAGTAATTCCTTCTGTTAATAATGACAAATCTCCGCAGATCTGAATTGTAATGTAGCATAGTGCTGTAACCCACCTATCTCCCTATACTGTGGAACATTCTAGACAATGCAATAACATCTCCATGGAGACAAGTAGGTAATGGATCCCCCACTAGAAATGTTACACAGTGCACCTTTAACTCTGCTCTTTCTTGCTCTTCTTTAAGCAAAATCCTGTTTCATTTTTTATTATTTAATTTTATTTTTTATTTTTATTTACAACCATACTGCACTGATGACAGACCTGTTTTATTATTTTTATTTATTTATTGTTTATATATTTTGAATTAATATTTAACAAAACAAAAATACTCAAAAAATTTAATGAAATAAAATAAAACTCTGTCCACATGCTCAACACAAACTTTGGCTGGTTTTATTCTAAATCTAAAGGTAGTATCTGTTACCCTTAGCCCTAAAGGTAGAGCTAACATTTTATGAATTACAAACTTCTTCTTGATAAATGACATTCTAGCCTCCCAAAAGCTTAACCTTGCATTTTTTGGACTTGATGGATCTAGGTTTGCCTCAGTTACCACATGCTCTTTTAGCCCGGTCCATTATAACACTATCAATAACAAACTCACACACACATCCACTGCAGTCTCCTCAGCAGGTTGAGGAAGAAAGACTTTCAATTTGTCCTGTAGCGAAGACTAAGAGAGAGCTGGCAGAGGATATACGAGCCGAGGTCCAAGTCAGGGCCACACCAGCGCTGGCACTAAGCCCGACGATGTGCCCTGTAGCCTGGGTCAGCACAGATTCATCTCCCCTGTCCCCCTGGAGCCCTGGAGCACAGCCACGCCGCCGACATGACAGACGTCCCCCACCGCACTGAGCTACAGCCACAGAGCAGAGGCCATGAGAAGAGGGACCTGAGGGCTCCGGTGCAAGGGGAGGGAGGGGAATGGGTGGACAGTAATCAAACTTTTTAATTAAATTTTTCATTCATAAGAGCACTAAGAAAACACAGTGTAGAGTAATATTGCCTTAGTACAGTAATTAAGAAGAAGCAGACTTTTCGTGTCCCCCACTCCACAGAACCACTACCAAATGTGGACAAATCGCACCCTAGCCTTCAGTAGCCTACATACGACAGCAAACATTTTAATTGTGTCTCCAAAGCGACTCCCGGACACATGCTGCGTGTGTCTGTCCGTATTCCGCGCTGCGCTCATCTGCATCATGAGGCGGTTCTCTCCCGTGTCGTCCTCGTCTTTAACGGTGATGTCTGTGTTATAGTTCGGCAGTATCTCTTCTTGGTTCTCCACCTTGTATGATTCTAACAGTGCTTGCTGGTTTACTGAAGTAGCATTCACAAAGTGGGATCATTGTTGGCAATATTCGGCACATTTTCGCTGAAAAAACTCAAGCAGCTTATCAGCGTGATAGGGGTACAATGTCTTTAAGCGGTGCCGTAATTTATTTGGCTTCATGCTGTCCATTGCAAACATTTTTAGACACAGTAAACACAGCGGTCTTTCCTCATTTCCCCACCGTAGTCACAGTGAAGCCGAGCTCTACATGCCCTTTACACACAGTTTGTTTCTTGCACTTTATATCTCCTGCTCAGTGCTGTGTGTTTCTAATACTCCCTGCACACACTCTGACAATGAGAGCGTCACTGCCAACTACTGTAGTGGATGCACAATTACACTTTATTCTAGTACAGAAAAAAAAAAAAAAAAAAACATCACACCCCCAGCATCGCACTACTATTTGAGACGGACTGCCTTAGTAGCCACCTCCTATTGTAAGCATTCTAATCAAAGTAACATTAGCATTAGAAGTAGTATTAAGTTAGACTCACAGGTTCACAATTATTTAAAGGTCCCATATTAAACAAAGTTGATGTTTGTGTGCTTTAAGCCATGTTATAATGCTGCTACCTCATCAAAACAATACCTGGAATTGTGTTTTGTTTTGTTTTTGTTTGAGTAACCCTTTATTAGTCTGTCTGCATCTCCAAATCTCACAGTGCTGTTACACTGTTAGTTTTCAAGTTCAGAGCTACCTTTGTACTTTTTGTTCATTAGAGCTTGGCAGTTCCAGGCTAAAATTATCCAACTGATTTAGTGAAGGTGTATAGAGTTTAAAAAAACAATGGAGCTCTTCCTTTATGTGTTAAATATGTGTGAATGAAACAAAACACAACTCCAGGTATGTTTTTGATGAGGAAACAACATTATAACATAGATCAGAAAATAATCTAATATGGGCTCTTTAAATATACTAGTAAATTTCTACATATATTGAAAAAGCACAATTTTTGGGTCCTTTAATGTTATGTTTTTCTTCCAGGTACTTGGTGCTAGAACATGTATCAGGAGGGGAGCTCTTTGACTACCTGGTGAAGAAAGGCAGACTGACACCAAAAGAAGCCAGGAAGTTCTTCAGACAGATCATGTCCGCCCTCGACTTCTGCCACAGTCACTCCATATGGTGAGTGTTTGCATTTCATAAGTCACTGGTTTGAATCACTTAACATAAGAATAAGCACTGAAAATGAAAAGTAATTCAACTTAAAGTCAATCTTATATGTGCAAGCTTTTAGGATACATTATTAAAAGTGCACTGCAAAACATTTCAAGTGGAAATGTCTAGTGGCTTTGTCTAGAATGTTCCACAGCATAGATTAAATCCATCTATTAAATCTATCACGAGGAAGACAAGCAGATTACAGCATTATAGTACATTACAGTTTGGATCTGTGGAGAGTCGTCCCTATTCACAGAAGGAATTGTTGTATTTTTGAGCAGTAGAAACACTCATAATGAGTAAATGCTAGATGGATATGTTTAATGTCATACCAGGCAAAGCAATAACACCTCCATGGAAACAAAGTTGAGCAGTACACCTTTAAAATCAGTCTTATATCCACAGCCTATTAATATTCTGTAAAAAAAAATAAAAATAAAAAATAAAAAATATGATAAAATCCTTCTGGTGTGTTCTGTTAGATATGTTTCCTGCAGTTGTGATTTTAAGGCTTTCTAAAATTCAATATAATTTTTTTAAAAATGTTTTTTTATGCCAAATTACTGCACCCAGAGAGTGTGGTTTAGTTGTCACAGAACATTGAACCGATAATGAGTTCCCATACAAAGAAAATGATTCAAATTCTCCCCTGATGGGAAAGTACAATATGAATTTAAATTAGTTTATTAATAGCTTTGAAGCACAATTTTGTTTTTCAAACCAATGATTTGACGTTGATTTAAAAAAAAAGTGTGGCTTTGTATGATTTTTCTCCTCTTTCCGTTCCATGTTTTGTGTTATCCAAAAGAAAATAAAGAACAGAAAGGAAAGGATAGTAGCAAGTGTGTGGATCAATTTCTACCACACATGTGTACTGAGATTATTCAGCTGAGCATTCAAAAAGTGCTATATAAATTGTATACATTATTATTTTCATTATTTACCTTAGTCCATAGACCGTATATCAAGGGTCTCCAACCTTTTTACTCTGTTGAGCTTCTTTTACAAAACGAAAATGCCAGAGCTACGACTTTTAGCAGTCATAAGAAATTGAGTGAATAGAAGAGCCACAGCAAGCCTTAGATGAGGCACAGTTAGGATACGTTTACACTGAAACATATCACTATATCACCATATCACAGTGTCACCGTATCATTGAATCGGAAACGATTTGCGTCCAAACACGTCATTTCTGTGTCCGCAATCAAAGTCTTCCCTATCAGTAACGTGAAACCACCTGAAACGCTGGTCACGTGACTAGGCTGCCGTCACATCGTCATGACATCACATTGTCACTTGGAAAGTAAAACAAGTAAGTGCAGCACAGTGTCTGAAACTGCAGCAGCCGATTTTGAGCTGAGGAAGATGGCAAGCGTGAAAACAAACTTTTCGTGAACCAGCGGCGAGGTTCAGTTTGTCTATGGTTTGTTTAAACAGTTCCGCAATCAGGAAGGTGCAAGTCACAGTGACGTGGTCCAATAAAGTCAGCAACTAGAGCTCCTACGTCAGCATATCAATGTTTTCAGGCGTCCACACAGTGCCGGATCAAATCCATATCCATACTCAGATGAATTCATGGGAGTTCGCAGCATCAGATTGTTACGTCTCTGGAGCCGTTTTCCATCAGATTATTGTGGAGGAACACTTCATCTGCAACGAAAACAACTCGAATACGTACTAGTGTGGATGGAATTGGAAATGAACATGTGGGTGCTTTCGGCTCCACCGACTCTGGCTTCAATTGACTTACATTAAAAAACTGTCACCCTCCTCTGTAACTGACGCAGTGAGGCTCATATTAACCTGCTGTACATGATCCTGATGTCTTGCTTCACTATTTTGTACGTAAATAAATAGTATAATAGTACGTAATAAATTTTTGTTTCTAATATGAAACTTGACTCCAGATTAGAGGCCGACCGATATGGATTTTGTTGTGGCCGATATGAAACGGATATAATGGGAGTTGGAGCTGCCGATAGCCGATATATTCGCCGATATATTTAGTGATGAAAAAATTCACTGTAAATCTTGAATTGTTTAAAAAACTTAGGTTTGGCTCTAGTGGATTCTAAATTGGGTTTATTTAGGCAACATTTATTGTTGTTCTGACTCTTTACATCATATTTACATACAGTAGATTGGCCTAATGGCATTTTTGCATCACATTCTAGCTACTAGTGATGGGTATTCCAGTTTTTTTTTTTGGAAAACCGGCTCTTTTGGCTCGGCTCACTAAAGCAGCTGGCTCTTTCGGCTCCCAAGAGACTCTTGAGATTGTTTTGTTGCAAGCAGGACTAAACCAGAACTGAACCAGGACTGAAAAAGGACTAAACCAGGACTAAAACAGATTTAAACCATGTGTGAAACAGGACTAAATCAGAACTTAACCAGGTCTGAGTGTCGGGACTCGGTTTCTATCTCTCTCCTTCACTCGAGCCCAAGATTAGTCCTGGTTTATTCATTTTATGCTGAACTGCAGCCAAATATGCACTTTTATTTTTTTTATCCTATGCACACGCAGATTTCTGAAAGTTTCGTTTTCAGCCGCTGCTGCTGTCAAACTACGGGTCTACATGCGGCTTGAAGAGAAAAAGTGAGAAAAAGAGAAAACACGGCTCCCAATGAGAAACATGCTCCCGTCGTTCGCTCTAAGAGCCGCTTCGATCGCGACCGACCCATCACTACTAGCTAGTAAATAAACTACCGCTATTAGCCTTTAGCCGTGCGCGCCGCGGTAATTAATTATATGCATAAATGTGGATCATTCACACGTCTATTCACAGCTCATTTACATATCAATGCTGGTCCAGTAGCAAATATACGGCCAATATAGTCACTTTACAATAGACCAATAGAAAACAGCCTGTTTATGTGTGGGAGCTACAGCAGCTAATCGCTAACAAAACCTAAACTAGCTTCAAAGTCAATGTATTTCTAACACTCACCGCTCACACAGGCTCCTCCTCACATCACAAGTCTGCACTAATAAATGTCCTTTTAATCCAGACTCAAACCGATTGTCCGTAAAAAGAATATAAACTCAGTGTTGCGCAGGCTGCGGGTGTAATCAAACACACGTGAGTGAAGTGACGTCACTCTGGGGGTGTGTTCAGGGACAGTACAGACACACACACAGACAAATTAAACCACAGATAAATACTGATGCGGAGCCACATATTAGGACATTTATCTGTGTGTAAATTGGATTAAATGAACATAATGTAGAGAGTCTAAGCTTTATAAGGAGGTATAACATGCCCACGTGAAATATCGGCCCATATCAGCGAGCATATCGGCCGATAGCCGATATGTCTCCAGGTGCCCATATTGGCCGATAATATCGGCCAGCCGATATATCGGTCGGGCTCTACTCCAGATTTGCTTCTATAATTGCTGGCATCATGAGCTTCATTTGACTGGAGCCAAATGCTGTGGGTGTCATCACACTCCCTTACTCCTTCTTTATACAGTCTATGCCTGTGCCACTGCCTCATCGCAGTAAATAAAAAGAAAATCTGCATGCCTAAGACTCTACAGTTTTCAACAAAATTCTAGACACAGATCATCAACAAATCAACAAATCAACATGTCATTAAAATGCATGTAGAAGTCCTATCAACATGTTGACGATGTTTTGTTTTATTTGTACTGCTGGGCATTATTTTGAGTGGTGTTTCAAATGGGTCCCTGCGCTGTGACTAATTTGACGCGTAACACTGCGATATTTTGGCTTTGGGGGGTAATTCCAGTGTTTACCAGCTCACAGACCGCAGGCAGTCATCTCCTTCAAAAATCACTGAGTCTTTGGAGACTAATAAGAGAACTCACTTGTTGGGCGTGACTGATTGTAGCGTTCTGAGTCCTGTGTGTCATGTATTAGCCTCCAGGGAGAGTGGGAGACTTTAGTGAACATTTTGTCATCATATCCACGTACAGAGGAGTGCAGAGGTGCTGTTTACTTTTATGGGAAGAGAAATGGATAGACAAGGCTGTTGCGCCAATATGTAATAAATTTGAAGGAAAATGTAGCAGTGGTGTATTGAACTTTCAAATACTATTTTAGAGTTAATGTGCAAAATGTTTTCAAACTTTTATGGAAGAGGGTCTGCCACTTGTTTTTCTCCACAGAGATTTTACTGTTTTACCTGGATTGTCCCACAGTATAGAATTAAAGGTCCTATATTAAGCAATATTGACCCTTGCAAGATTTTAGCCATGTTATAATACTGCTACCTCATCAAAAACATGCCTGGACCTGTGTGTTGTTTCATGTGATGTCATGAAGGGGTTTTCAAGTAGTTTTCAAATTCACAGCTTCCTTTGCGTTTTGTTCTGTAGAAATTGGCAATTCCAGGGCTGAAATGATCAAAATGATTCTAGAGAAGGTGTATGGAGTTTTAACATTCAGCAGAGCACTTCTGACCAGTAACTTGGTGGGACAGAGTGACCTGCTTTGTTCCATAGAGATATATAAGTTTAAGGCCATACTGTGGGACATTACAGGTAAAGCAGTTACATCATGGTGTCACTCAAGTCCAATATTGTTGAAAAATAATTAAAAAAAAGATGTCCATATGTGCTTCCTAAAGCCAGGCGTACATTGACTTAATCATGTGTCGTGCTTCGTGTAGTAAACATGGACTAACGAGAACAGATTAAAACCTCACGACCAGCTCCCGATCGGCAATTGTAGTTCGCAAGAATATCAAACCTGTCTGAAATCCACTTGCCTCTCCACGAGCTGTGAGCTTTTAAACCCTGCAATTTGGTCATACAGTTTGAGCTGGAGCTGAGTGAAACGATCCAAAATATCGCATGTTGTTTATCGCATATCGTGTATGTCCAGCATAAGTTACCAGTTTAACAGAACAGATTTTGTGGGTTTTTTTGTCATACTTTGTCAAAACTTTCCATTTGAAGGAGAGTGATATGTGACAAGAGATGAGGCGAACACGACACTG